TGTACTGACGCATGAGCACGGCACTCAAGAGGGCACCACAGTCGACCCTACGGATACTGTTAAGGCAAAAATCTCCGACGACCGGGCATGTGGATGCGCACACGCCTAGAATGGAATCGGCATGAGCAGCACTCGATGAAGAACTAAGGGTACTAACTAAATAACTAACTATCCCCAGAACAACAAAATCTCAGAAGACCGAGATAGAAAAGCACGAGGTAAATACCACACAGAACACTCCGACTCTAGCCACAAGCAGGGAGAAGGAATGGAGGAGGATCAGAGTTGTGCTGCCCTTAAGTAGCCAGGAGAGAGGCTAACAGCTGCAGGGTGCGCGCGCTGCTCCTACAGGTACTGTAGAGCAAAATTCCCCTACTCCTGTGCTTTGGGAGTGCACACTCCTGAGTGGAATACACGTCTGTAGCCACTCAAAGAAGAATCTGTACTATGCACAATTTAGGTATTCTGCATCATGCAACTGCAGGCCCTCAGCGGTATGAGTCTGAACGGTAATACCATGGGGAGTTCCTATGGCTTCCACTGTACCTTTGTGCCGTTTGTGAAGCTCTCATGCTACTGTTGCGACCTTCCTACACTTTGTCAAAGCCTGCACCCGGAGCCCTTAAACTACTTTCAACAATCGCATTCTGCCAACAAATCTCCAAAACTGGAAAAGGGCACAGGTCCTTACCACGATCTGAAGTTTACAGGCCAGTACATTTTGGACTAATGATAAGCCAGAAAAAGATAATCAGGAAAAAATAGTGAAGAGATTTTTCTGAACCACTGTCTAAAAGCTTATCTGATTTGCCTCGTCAGAAAATTTTTTTACTCTGACATAAAATTACATTTGTAAGATATTAAGAATTTGCATCAGGTCAAAATCTGCTTCAGCCTTAACTATGGAGACACATTTGACTATAGTTATTACACCACTACTATTCTAATTTACTAATTTAAAGTGCTTTGAGATTGAGATTGATTATAACAAGTACTTTCACATGGAGTCTATTTTTGGTGTCAGTACCTGCTTTAGATATAGAAATGTAGCAGGAAATCATCAGGATAAGATACAAAACAAAGTTTTTTAAAAATGTCAAGATAACAATCTGTACACAAAGTTCTGAAGAAAGATAAACAGAAAAGAGACTACAGGAAAAGTGTGATAAACAGGAATGAAAATAAAACAGACAGCAAATCTCTCATAGCACAAAGGTTACACTTTGTTTGCTTAGAACAGTCTAGTCTACATCAAAGCACCAGCAGCCGGTGAGAAACTCTGTTCAGACATGGAGCTATTTTGAAAACCTCTTACTGGTAATTCTTACTGGTGCGCACACATCAATATATACACAAGTTATTTGTGACAAACTTTCACATTCACATAAACAAACAGAATCTTAGTTTAATACACAGAGATCTGGAGTGTTGAGGCTGCTTTCATTCAGCCTGTTTAAGAATTCATGAAACCTGCCAAGCTTTTCATTTCATTCAACACAGAATATTTTCATTTGATGGGCATTGTAAGGGATGAAACTGGAGGACTTAGAACTAGCCATCCTGATATCAGAAAGACAAGTAAGGATTTTCCCGATAAAGGAATGTAATCTGAAAAAACTACTACTATTATGGTGTCAACTGGCAAACTACCTAACTAGAACGGGGGATTAGGACAACATTTAGAAGGAATGAACAGAGAGCCAAGCAGCACATTGAAAACAGACAAGGGAGCAGTTCCATTTCAAAGCTAGAGCCAGCGAGAGGAACTGAGTGGCAGTTGTCCACTCTGCCCTTTTTAATCTGGTTGGCATGAGACGTGAAGGAAAAAACAGTTACTAACCTATCTGTAACCTATCTGTAGCCTATCCCTCTCATTGGCTACAGAGACCACTAAAGAGTTCAGGGCCGGGTGGGAATATAAATATTCAAACCCCTTCCCCGGGACATAATACTTCCTCTCAGCCCGCTTGGAAATAGGCAGGAGAGAGGACAGGGTCTGCCATAAGGCTTCCACCAGCTTTACTACCCCTTCATATAATGGGAGTGCCACTCTAGATAGGGCCACTGTGGCCAGAATGTCAAATAGTGTGTCAGAGGGTTCTGCCAACTCTGCTTCCAATCCCAGGTTTGCCACCTCGCTTTAGAAGCTCCTGGTGTGCCTTGGCATTGTCCTGTGGCACTGTCTGGGATGGTCCCGCCATTGCCTCATTGGGTGAGGACAACGAGGAGGCAAGGGCAGGTGGAGGGGCTGGCTCAGCGTCCCCCACATGGGAGGCCTCCACCAAGGCCTGAGGGTGCTCCCGGGCACCTTGCTCAGAACCTTCCTGTAAGTCCGGAGGTGGGGCAGGAGACCGTCGCCGACCTCCTCTATGCTGCATCTGGGTCTCCGATGCCTGGGAGAACCCCCACATGTTCCAAAAGTGCCACGGGGTGGGCCATGCTCTGGCTGGTGGCCCTGGAGGAGCCTGCCCAAATCTGGCTGGGTGTGCCTGGCCCAAGGGACCCGTTATCTCCTCAGCCTCTGAGCTCGAGGACGAAAGTTCCTGCCTTGGGGACTACTGCGGTGCCGATGTTATGTCCACGACCCCTCCATGTCTACCATCCCCGCGCCTGCAGCTGTGGGCCAGATGCCGGGTCTCAGGGTCCCGGTGCTGCCTGAATGGGAACCAGCGACGGCGCTTGGCGACAGTACACGGTGATCGACACCTAGAGCTCTGGGAACAGCGCCGGGAGTCCAGCGACCAAAAATGGGATGGCAGAGAACACCACCACAACCCCAGGGATTGGTGCCATGAGTCCGGTGATCTGCATCTTGGCACTGGGGACCTGTCTTGTGGTGCTGGGGATTGGCGTTGTGGTCCCTGAGGAGCGATGCTCATGCTCCAGCGACCAGTGCCATGCTTCGTCTCTGTGCCGGCCACTGGACAAGCGATGCCTCGTGGGACCAGTGCCGAGAGTCCAGTGAACGGTGCTGGGAACTCTGGTTGGTATAGGCAGGTCGGAAGTGCATCCCCAGGGATTCGACGTTGACTGCCGCGGTGCTGGGGAGTGATGCCGCACGGATGGAGACTGTTGCATGGGCCCAGTGCCAACTTCCCTCTGGAGATGTCTACGTCTCAACGGGGTGTTGGTGGCACCGGCAAAGACATGATGTCTTTTGCAGCCTGGAAGGCCTCCAGCGTGGTTGGACCTCCGCCAATACCTGGAGTGGCTGGTGGGTCCCTAAGAGGGCAGGCTAGCCTAGCCATTTATGCAGGTGCCTGGTTGGGCTCCGGAGTCATGCTGCCACACATGGGCCTATGATCTGCTCCGGACTTTGCCTTTCAGTACAGGATATCAGGGAACGCCCTCTCCTGGTGTGCTTCTTAGCGGATACCGAGGACTGGGACCGGTGTCAGCAGGCCAGTGCCGCCGGCACACTTCAAACAGGTGCCGCTGTGCTCAGTCCGATCTCGGAGGTCCGGAGACCGGCACGAGGGCCGACTCCATGAGGTGCGCTCTTAGGTTTATCTCCCGCTCCTTTTTAGTTTTTGGCTTGAAACTCTTGCAGATGCGACACTTGTTGCTAATGTGGGTTTTCCCCAAACACTTCAAGCTGATCGTCATAGGCTTTTTGTAGCCATCACAAGCCTTGAATCCGGGAACTGGGGCATGCCCCGTCACTGGGCTAAGTCCCTTAGGGGACTATCTAACTTATCTACACTACTATTAGCTAACTATTAAAAGAACAAAAAGAACTACTTATCTAAGAACTATTTAGACAATGAATGACAGGAAGAACCACTGAGTAAGAGCATTTGCCAAAGCCAGGAGATGTTCCAGCACAGTCACTGGCAGTAAGAAGGAGCTGAGGGAGGGGGAGCCGGTGGCGCATATGTGCGCCACTCCAGAGGGCGCCAGAGCCAGTCCCCTACGGATACCACTGAGGGAAAAACTTCTGCACCAGTGCATGTGGTGAGCACACACACCTAACATGGAACGGACATGAGCAAGCACTCAAAGAAGAACTCAGGGTATATGGGTGGCCACAACAGACACTGATAGCCAAAAGACTCCAACCTCAGGCCCATGGGGCACATGCACACTATCAGTGGAATAGGTCTATGGACAAGCAGTTGAAAGAGAACCTTAATTCAGTCCCCTGTGTGTATGTATTATGATATAGCTTTTAATTAAATGATCATATTCCTGAAACCTGCAAAAAATACCTGGTGCAGGAAAGAATAATTCTTGCACTGCTAGAATTTACAATATGCCAACACCTTGAATAGTGCGCGCAGTTCTGGTCGCCCCATCTCTAAAAAGAGACACTGGTATTGGAAAAGGTACAAAGAAGGGCAACAAAAATGATTAAGGGCATGGAACAGCTTCCATATGAGGAGAGATTAAAAAGACTGGGACTGTTCACAGCTTGGAAAAAAGATAACAAAGGAGAGATATGATAGAGGTCTATAAAGTCATGAAAGGTTTGGAGAAAGTTAATAAGGTAGTTTATTTATTCCATCACATAACACAAGAACCAGGGATCACCCAATGACATTAATAGGCAGCAAGTTAAAACAAATAAAAAGGAAGCATTTCTTCACATAATGCACAGTAAACTTGTGGAACTCATTGCCAGGCGATGAGAATACTATAACGGGGTTCAAGAATGAATTAGATAAGTTCCTGGAGGATAGGTCCATCAATGGCTATTAGCCAAGATGATCAGGGATGCAACCCCACGCTCTGGGTGTCCCTAGCTTCTGACTGCCAGAAGCTGAGATTGGACAACAGTGGATGGATCACTTGATGACTGCTTGTTCTGTTCATCCCAACTGAAGCACCTGGCATTGGCCACGGTTGGAAGACAGGATACTGGTCTAGAGGGACCATTGGTCTGACCAAGTATGACCATTCTAATGTTCTTATGTGGTCTCATTCTAAGGATTAATAAACTTTGCACTTACATAATGTTACATTTAATTAAATCCACTGTGAGTTAGGCAAAACATTTCTACCTGTGCAGCTTCGTAGGTGATGGTCTTGGTCTCTGTGTGAACAATGGGAACTTCTTTTGTTGGAATTTCACTTTTCACAGCATTGGACACGTCAGAGATGGTAACTGTCTGAGTCTTCACTAGGGGTGGCTATGAAAGAGGTTTAAAAAAAACACGGAGCATAGTTACATACTGATGATGTTTCTGGTCAACGCTCTGACATTGATCTGATAAAAACATCACAGACAGAGAAACCAAGACTCAGCCTAGAAATCTTGAACATTTTAGCCCTACAGAGAGTTTGATACATGTTTCAGAGGATCAAGCATTGAACCAGCCAAGTCAAATTGGAGGCTTAAAACACACAGTGAAATCCTCTCTGCTAACTGTGCTGTTCTCTCAAGTTAGACCAAGAAAGTCATCAAGGGTTAAACAGTCAGATTGCTATGAATGTACTATATGGATTAGCTTCCTAATTATGAGGATGAGGACCCCATAGAAAACTGCCAGTCAGACCATGACTCTGACTGTATTGAAATATCAAAATTGATGCTGTAGAGACTGGACAAATAAAAAGTTAATCATGGCTGACTGAAGCTTTATTCTGAATGCAAACAAAGCCATTTCCATTGTTAAAATACTCATCAATCTGTGGTTCACTGGCTTTTATTAAATCAATGTCAGATACAAGTCTTTAAAAGAAAAACTGTGTGTGTCTTGAAAGAGAAACTGGAAAAATCAGTTCTTCCACCACCTGCTAATTCATCAAAAGAGAAGATAATATTAGCAAAAGACCCACAAGGTTTTCCCAGCTCAATCAGTTTCTGCTCACCTTCCCAAAGCCTGACAGTTGCCACCTTGTTAGTAAGTTAAATGGTCATCTATTTTGACATAAATGATTGATATTCAGCAACACTGAAGCAGGCAAAAATCTCTGCCATGGTGATGGTGGGGTTTGAAATCTCATGACAATTACAATGTAAATGTAGACTTTTGACAGAGCTAGAATTTGCTGTGTTACATTAAGTTTCAGCCCTGCAGCATCTCCTTTAGCCTGATTTCCAAATTTTCTGCAATATAGCAGTAAAACACACCAAAACCCCATGATAGCCACCCAATTCAGCGGAATAAAATTAAACATGGTGGTCTTTGGAGTCTGCATGTTTCCTTTTATTTAGAAAACAGGGCACTTGAGTCAAAGGAAGACAAAGGCCATTTTTCATTGAGGCATGTCTGTCACTTTATGCAAGGCTAAATTGGAGGGGGCTCAGTTGCACAGACTTTGCAGGAGATTAACTGACTGATTAGTTTGGGGAATGAATTCAGGCCATATAAACGTAATTCCTCATCACAGATTTGTAGCATATGCTTGCTGCAGTGTTTGGGATTTCATTCCAAAAACCAAAAGGAAGATTTGAAAAAAAAAAAAAAGGAGGTATTCTGAGCTCACAGTTACTACCTGAAAACAGCGAATGAGTGTGGGAAGCCCATTATCAATATTCCAGTTGTGACACTCTCCATTTAGCTTTCTAAGTGGATCTCTTGTAAAATAATTTTCTTCAACATTCTCTGTCTCCTCCTCTCTCTGACAGGGATGCAGTGGAGGTGAAACAGAGATTGTAGGGGTCTCCACCACAGACTGCTCATCTGAGTCATCTGCCTGCTTTTCCACACCTGCATAACCCTTTTCATATGTTAGGTCATCCTGGCTCTCAAGGAATACAGGAGCTCTCTCCTCCTCCTCACTGCTTAGGGAGGAAGTGCCAAAGTCATGACTTTGTAAAGACTCTGGTGGAGTTGACATTTGGTTCTCACTACAGGCTACTGAATGCTTTGGGCCCACCAATTCAAAGTCAGGGTTAGTACTTTTCCTCTCTGTCACTGCATCCACATCCGTTTTGGGGGGAAAGTCACACAGACTCTAAAAAGAAAAAAATACACAAAAAGGCCAGAGAAGGTTAGGAAGAATGTAGCATCCTGAAATATTAAGAAAAGTAATGTTAGTCTCTAACTTACACTGTATTGAGTTTACTGCAATCTATGCACAGCAATAGGTGGACTTTAAAAAATAAAAACAAAAAAGCCTGAAAACTCTTTGTGTAATACACATTGCATCCAGAGGACATCCTAAACACAACCTTCCAAACTGACTAGTTATCCGTGTGCTTTAGGGTTATGGAATAACAACAAACAGCTGTCTCTCCCTGGCACCTTGAGAAATCACAAGGCTGATTCTTGACTTAAACACTCTTTGCCTAAATTAGGAAATAAAGGAGTAACTGCTGTATGGTGGATGGAGAGGTCTGCACACAACCAGAAATTGTAGGAACAAAGATACCCATCACTGTAGCGACACTATACTCCAAGTCCATTTCTTTTCCTTAAAATGACACTTCAGTGGAAACGAGGAGGGGAAAAGTGGGCACAAAACCACCATGAGGCACTGAAAGAGCATCCCTGTCACTGGGAATTCAGACAGCCTGTGTTCAGTTGATTAGAACTCACATTGTGTAGCACCTTTGAAACATAACTGCAGAGGTCTTGTTATTGCAGACCCTAGCAGAGTAATTCTCACCTGTTTACCAATGTGAGCTGCATATGCAGCTCTCTGTGTTATGTGGGCCACATCCACACAATATATACACTACCTGTATGGCCCTGAGGATGTCACATGGGCTTCAGCTGTATGCTAATTGGGCCGCAAGTGGCCTGCAAATTGAGAACCACTGATCTAGGATAACTAATACAGACGTTGTTGTAAAGGACATGATGCTGTTGATAATGTTATTGAAAGAAGTCAGTCCTGTAGTCAACTGATTCAATCATCAAGAGGCTCCCAAACTGAAAGAAACCACTGACACACCCAGGAATTATGATGTATCCTTACTCAACATAAAGTAATCGTTATTCTAGTCAAACCAGATCAACTGAGGGTACGTCTACACTACCCGCCGGATCGGTGAGTAGTGATTGATCCCCGATCGCTCTGCCGTCGACTCCTGTACTCCACTGCGGTGAGAGGCGGAAGTGGAGTCGACGGGGGAGTGGCGGCAGTCGACCCCGCGCCGTGAGGTAAGTCGACCTAAGATACGTCGACTTCAGCTACGCTATTCTTGTAGCTGAAGTTGCGTATCTTAGGTCAATCCTCCCGCCCCCACAGTGTAGACCAGGCCTGACTTGTAAAAAAATTTAACGTACTCCGTGTTTAGCTGAGGAATCACGTAATTAAGCAATAGCTCTACACTGGAAAGCCAGATAGTCAAGTTAACGCGTACTGACCCATTGTGGTTGAATACGCAATTCTGTTTATTCCAAAACAGGTTAACAACTGCATATTGCAGTATGATTTGTCCAAAACTATTGAAACACATGTACCATACTTTGTTGCAATAGTAACAGTCTGAGCACAGAAACCCATACAATACCAATCCTCTTAAACTTACAATATAATTCGTATTAGCAACAGTACATTGTAGAAAAGACATGTAATAAATCAATACACCTCCCTAGAAGAAAGCAAGTGTGACTATAGCACCTGAGGTACTTTGGAAGACTGTGCCAAGCCAGAGGATTTAACTAAGGCTGGAGCTATTCTGCCTTCCATTCTGCTCTTGTTAGCAAGTTCTCAACTAGGTCTTCTTACATCTCTGGGAGCCCTCTAGCCAGAACTTGAAGAAAAGGAACAGTGACAGAAGAGAAGACAAGAGTTAAAACACGCACAAGACAAAACTGGCACAAAATCATCCGTTTTCCCAAATGCCCAATGAGTACAGGAAAAATATGTAATACATAAACTCATGTCAAACTCATTCTGCATAGAGGACTGGGTTCCATTTTTAATTATGGGCTGTGAACCAAAGCTAGGGTCTCTTATCCTATTCTAGTGTCACAGCATTTCTTCCACTGACAATCTAATATTAGTCTAAATACGGAGGGGACAATAAGCACCCTTACATAGTAACTACAATTTTACTATCGTTATTAAGTTACTGCTGCATTCAGTGTCACTCAATGAGGGCAGGGGGAAAGCCCCAAATGATGGAGCTCATTTAGCTAATTCTTCTCTTTATTTAATTGGTGATTTGCATGGTTAGTTGTGGTAAATGTACACAAATAGGACATACAAATACATGTGCATATTGCATGCACAACTGCCTACCTCAGCTTTCGGAAAATCTTGCTCCATTAAGTGTTACCATTAAGCTTCAAAAGTTACCGTTAAGATGATCAGTAGACATCATCACACTGATTTGCATTCAAAAGGTTTTCTTAGCAACTGCAAGAACTATCGTCTTTGTTGTAAATTAAAGCTTGCATTCAGCAGAAGCTGAACCTGCCATAGGGTCGAGATCAATGTATCAGCTGGGTCAGAAGTCTGACATCCCTGATTTAATGGTTCCCATTTGATGGGATAGCACAAATCTGTTTTAGGAACTATGACTGCTTTTTATTTAAGGACAAGTTAACACTTACTTTCACTTTGCTGGGATGAAACGATTGCTCAGTTCTAGATCTCTACCCTGTAACATTATGGATAAGGTAAATCACAAATTGCTACTTATTAAGATTGCCCAATAATTTGTGTTTCCTGTAAATTCTTTGGATTTTAACTTGGGAAACACATTCAGCGGTGACTAAAATGATACAAGGACTACCAAGATAGATGATATGCATAAACTCATTTGATTGAAAATATTGCTTTTACATGCATCTACACACACACCTAGGTAATGCCAATTTTGAACTACTGCCTAATATGAGGCAGTATATTGCAACTACCTTTCAAATTTCGGGGAGACAATGAAAACTGTCAGCTTTTTCTGCCCGTGTGTTAATCTCATTTTAAGTGCTCGTTTAGCATACTGTCAGCGTACCGAGTGATACATGACAAAGTTTTGCAAACTAGGGGCCTGATCCAAGGTCTTCAGTAGGAGCAGCAAGTGCTCAGCACTTCTATGGAATACGCTCTGGAAGCAGCATTTGCTTAAACATCAACTGTGAGATTAAGTTGAACAGCACGAAAAAATGAAATCCCATAAAGAAAGCAAAGAGTCTATAGAAAAGACAGAGAAAACTGGAACTGTATTTAAGCTCTTACAAGAACAAATATTTTGCAACTAACCGTAACTTTCATTGTGAGTGTATATAAAAATATCAGCACTCAGAATGAAATCTACATAAAGATATATTGGTTTTCAATAAAGCAACATCCTGAAATAAACATCAACATGCAAACAAAAAAAATGGAACAAATTATGATAAGATCAATTGACCAGAAGTGCTTTGTTCTTCCCTTCCTGTTCCAGCAGTACACCAAGGGAGCCTAATTAAAAACTATTTCTATCTATAAACAGATATAATTACCTATTTACACACACAGACTTTTTTATACAAATACGCCTGTGCTTGTTCCTGTTTAGAAACAGTCTACATGCAGGCGAGAATAGATCATCTGTTTATAAAGATAAATTGGGAATTTGGACATCTGATCTCATCAAGATGTTTTTTAATTTGCAAATGCAAAGGCACTCCTGTTTTTCAGAGCTGCTAAAGCCTCTCAACTTTGACTTAAATCAGCAGACGTGGAGGGTGATTAGCAATTCTGACAAATCAACCAATTAGTTTCTTATGGTGACTTGCAATAAAAAACGAATCTGATGTGCAACAGACTATTTTGCATAAGCCATACATAGTGTAGGACGAGTACAGGACAAGATGCATTGCCCCATTTCTTAAGAGCAAAAATGAATGCAATTAAAACAATCATCCTGGGAAACCCCAATCACAGTGCATTTGATGTTGAAAAATACTGAGGATACCGCTACATTTACTTAAAGTTACAGTGAAAAAAGTGACACTAAAACCAGCAATTCAAATACGGGATAAATTAATAACAGACTAATTGTGTGGCTGATACCAAAGACCACAGATATTTTTAGTGGTTTAATATATTACTGATTTTTAACGGTACTTTTTAGCAGCAAAATATATGAAGGTTGTTTCTTACCCACCCTCCCAACATTCAGCCAGTTGCTCATGCTTAATTGTCAAGTTTTCCTACTCTCTATCCTCCCTCATTTCAGAAAAGTGCTTGCATAGAGCACATTTCCACAGAAATGGTGCTGACTTTCTCGTCAAAATTTTCAATTATCTCACCACATGAGAGAACTGTGGAGGGAGTGTCTACGGATTGATAAAGTAGTTGTTAAGCCACCAAAGCTGCCAGTTACTGAATGTATCTGATAAACATTTAGGATGATGGAATAATCATTAACAATGCCAACTTGAAACACACAGAACTGAATGAAATTTACAAATTCTAACTAGCTAATCTTTCTAATCAACTTTTTATTCAGTACAGAATTATCCATGCTGAACACTTGCATTTGTTATTAGGTTATCCCCAAGATACAAGTGTATGCATAAGCAAACAAGATCGATGTAAATGCCTACGGATGCACAATTAGCCATTAAATAGAAGACATTGATTTTTCAATGAACTACACTCACCAGTAATAATTCCACAGATCAATTGATGAATGTTCTCAACCTCAACAAAGCTGTCAGAAGCACTTGAGCAAAGAATATGATAAAGCAGTAAATAGATACCTTTAATTTACAACACCTTTTTACACATTATATAGCTTCCTGATTTCCCAAGACAAGGAAAGTTAAGGCTTTACAACTAGGACAGCAAAAGCTCTCTTTTATTTATGGCCATCAGCTGTGAGGTTGCATATTTTGGATTGGTTTTTAGGTCACCAATGAAATGAGCAGAATATTCTGATGATTAGCCTGTCTCGTAATTTCAAACAATATTGTACTGAATACTGATCCAAATCCTGCAAGACGCAGTGTGACATCAATTCCCGGCGCATCAAAAGGAATTTCAGTTGCTTAACAGCTTGAAAGATCAATACC